AAGCACCACCTCTGGAAGTGAAAGCACCAGAAAGTGAATCACGTCATACGCACGCAAGCACAAGATTGCGAACACCCTTAGCAGGATGCAGCGCCCCCTTCGTGCGACTCGCCGAATATCTCACGCTTTGCGCTTGGTGATGTGAGAGCCTGGTCCGGTGAGAACCCGGCGTGCTCCGTCCCGGCTTTGTAGGGATGCGAGGTCAATGGTCTAACGACTACGGCATGCACGACTATGAGTAACCCCCCCCCCCGGCACGCTTGCCGAATGCCCGTGTTTGGCACCGATGCCTTGATCGATCTATCCCTTCACACAGGGATCAAAAAGCGTCCATGTACCGCAACCACAGCTGGAACGTAACCGGTGCCCAAGAAGAGGCGGACGTCTCTTGGAGCGCCGTCGCCAAGGACGGGGCAGACGATGAGGTGAACCACCCGAAGAAGGGCAAGGAGGGCATCATCCTGGAGTCGATGCTGTTCAAGGACGACGCTAAGGAGATCGGAATTGTGGAGGTGAGAACATGTGTACATGCCAGGCTGAGGCGTGCTAGGCTCTGCAAGTGCCACCCACGGACGGCGAACGAACATCCTGGAAGTTGTACTTGTTTTTTTGTCGATCTGACGACCTGTTGATAGTGTCAAGCTTAGTGGAAGCTGAGGATTCCCACTCCTCGCTTGTTTTTGTTTCTGCTCGATTTGATTTGCGTGGCCTGTTTGTCAACTATGCCCCTCTCGCTTACACTATCTCTCCCTCTTTCGCTTTCTTTCTCTCCCTGTCTGTCCCTCTTCCCTCCCCCCTGTATGCTCCCTTCTCCCTCATACGCCTCCCTCCCCCCCTCCCTCCCTCACCCAGCTGAAGGTGATGAACCTCAACACCTCCGAAGACAAGCGAGAGAAGCCGACCAGGCGCGCCCCTAAATGGAACCAGTACTTCTTCCGTCTTAGGGAAGAGACCCTCACCAAGTCTCTCCCACGACGACCGTCCTCCCCCGGTAACGCCGACCAGCAATCCGAAGACATGAAGCTCACGTCGGCTACGATAACGTCGTACACCAACACTAAGAACTGCTTCTGCGTCCGCACCGACGAGGTGCGTTTTGGATTTGGGATTATAGGGTGGGCGCGAGCTTCGGGAAGAAGTTGGATCATGATGTGTGCGTCTGCCCTGCATGAGTTGTGGTCGAAGGAATATGGATTTGGTCAATTCGGGTTTTCATCAGAGCCCCTACCGAACGCCCCGCGCACGATTAAAGATGGAGCTTACAGTTAACGCTACTGTAACGACCGTTTGCAGACGATGTGTCTGACCCCAACAAAATAGTATTTCGCGGAAACCATGTGCCTTGACCGCCCCCCCCCTCCCCTGTTTCGCTCGCCTGTTGGTTAGCTGTGTACGGTGTTGTCCACCGAGGTGTCTGTGTTGTTCCTCTGATGGTGAATACTTGGCGTTAACCATATGCCTCGCTCCCCCCCTTCTGTTATGCTCGCGTGTTGTGTACGCGTACACGGTGTTGTGTTATGTTTTTGTATTTGATGCTGTAATAGGTGTCGTGGTTTCTGCTTGCAAGAAGCCTGGACGACATGAAGAGGTGGATGTCCGCCATCAACCTACGCGCCAGACACATCTTCCAGAGGGAACACGGGGTGCACGACGACTATGCGGGGCAGGGGTGAGCGATACAGTACAAGAGCCACCCGAGACGCGCGCTACTGCTGTAGATAGACACCACCACGACCAACAGGCGTCAGAAGCGGCAACGATGGCATCGTGAACAACCCACCGCAAGGATGATTTTTCCTCCCCAAAACTGATGATCACAATACCCAATCATAGCAAACCACACCCGCCCAGATATTATTGAGAAATTCTGCACATACACGTGGCGATTTCTATGCAACAAATCACGCCCAACCATTATTTTGAGAGATCACACACGAAGTGGAAATATAACAATACCCAGGTTTTCAAAGCAGGCAAACATACTGGACAACGTATAGGACGAGCTAAGTTGGGGTCAGGGTTACAGGGTCGGCGCGCCCTTTCTCTGGCGTTCTCTGGTACTGAAGTCACTTTCTTCCCGAGGCAGTCCAACCAAAAGAAATCAAACTCAGCCAACCATCGGTTGGCCTACGTACCTGGTTGTACGTTGTTTTTTTTTCTACAGTCGCAGAGGGAGGTTCTTCTACCGCATGGTTGAGGGCTCGGTACCGCAGTGGATACTCACGCACCCGATGACGAAGGCCCCGCGCACGGGCGATGGGCTCTTCCCCGGCGAGGTGGTGGAGGTGACGCAGGTCAGTCATTAGTCCAGTCATTAGTCAGTAGTTCCCACGAACGGCTGTTGTCTGTCGTGTGCCTCGCCGCGGCTGGCTCCTCACGGGCAAGAATCTACGCGCCTTTTGTGTGTTGGGTGGATCCCGTCCAGCAAGCACAGCTTGCTTGAATGATTGCCCAGAGGAGGTGGAGGAGCTGGGTAACGACTAGTGTAAACTTGTACTTTTCGATTTCACGGAGAATACAGTACTGTTGTAGAGATGCATAGGTTTGTGCAATGATGTACAGGAAGTTCACCCGTTGGACATAACACCACAACATTTTTGCTAGAAGAATGGGCAGCAGTTGTTGCGCCCCCGCCCCCCGATATTTTCTCGCGTGCTGGTGAGGAGTGAGGGCAGGGATGGATGCAACCTTTTTTCGTCGCTTGGCAACGACGTTGTAAAACAAGCCACCCCCCCGCCCCCCCCAGAGCCTGGTCCGGTGAGAACCCGGCGTGCTCCGTCCCGGCTTTGTAGGGATGCGAGGTCAATGGTCTAACGACTACGGCATGCACGACTATGAGTACACCCCCCCC